GGGCGGGGCGAGCGGCCGCCGGGAGCGGTGTCCACCGCGGCAGGGGCCCGCCCGTCCTCCCGGTGCTCTTCGTGACCCTCTTGTCCCTCGTCTCCCCCAGGTTGGGCTGCACCCCTCCTGAAGCTTCTCGCGGAAAGGCTCCGGGTGTCCCCCGCCATGCCCCGTTCCGTGGCGGAGTGCGCGGCCACCGGCCCTCGGGAGAAGTCGGGTGGCCCCGAGTGGCCCTGGGGACGAGTGGCCGCGTTTGTGCAGTGGTATTAAGCAGGATGCGGTAGCACGTGACCCTGGAGCGCAAACCCTGATGCCGTTTCTCCGCCACGCGGGCGCCCTTTTCTGACACTCGGCCGCGAGCAGATGCATCACAGGTGAGTCGGCGGAGGGGGTGGGTTAGCGCTGGTGACACCTGGAAAACCTCTGGCACGGGAGTGTCTGGAGTTGGCGTCTTTGTGGTGCCGTTGGAAAGCTGACGGATGAGATTTGCAAATGGATTTGTGTCCCAAGGGGAAGGAGAAATCCAGAAACTAATTCGCCCCAGATGGGAGTAGTTCCAAAGAGCCACACATCTCTCGTTGTCTGATGGACACCTTGTACTCCATGTTTGGAGTTACTTGCGCGCGGAGTAATACTTTGAGCTTGTGATCATGATCATCTCGAGGTAGGGCATGGTTCCCCTGCAATCCCGTCTTCCATCTCTTCCCTCCTTTAAATCCAGGTCCAGGAGTCCACTCATGTTTGGCCATTTGGGATCCTGCTGCCTGAACCACTATGCCGTGGGCTGGCTCTTTTCCTAAGTATTTTAAGAAAAAGGCATGAGATCATTTGGCCAGTGGCTACCTAGGTTAGTTAGAAACACATAGAAACTGTAGAAAGAATGTAGGAAGGTGTTTCAGCCACAAAAAAGAGAGATTAGAATCTCCATTTGGCTCTTTTCCGAAGGTCGCTTCTTATCATCCCTTAGGAGAAGGGTGGTTAGCCTAGAATTGTACTTCAGAATGAGAGAGTCTTAGAGAGGCTTTCTGGTGTTCCTCATCTGCTTTCTCTCTGTGGGGTAGTAGTTACCTTTGGTTTATGGTTGCTGAGGTCATCACATTTTAGTGACTCACAACAAAGCAGAAATCTGCTGAGCCTCTCCCATTAAACTCTGGTTTGAACTGGTTTGAGAAGGCCTAGGAGTCAACCCAGAAACACCATTTTGATTTTTATCTCAAGATTAGTTACAGAGATTAATTTTCAGGAACTTTGAGAATGGGAGTTGAAGCTACGGACTTTAGCGGTACTTTCAAAAATTACTGTGACCAGTTTGTTGTAAGCCATTATGGCTCCAGCTTGTAGTGTTTCAGTTATGGTCGTAACTGTAAAAAGTTACAGGCAAAGTTTCTTTTAAACCAAAGAAACTTTCGAAGTTAAGGTAGTCACAGGGTTTTTTTTTGCATTCTTTATAGCATAATAAAACCCTTGTATTAATGCGCTGCTGTTCCTAAGGTATATTGCACAGTGCATATTCTACACAGAGTATTATTCTAGGTCAACGCTGTACACTTGATTGGTGTCTGAGACCTCAGGTATGTGAACTACCTGGCCAGGGCTGTGGAGAAATCCTGTGGCAATAGAATAATGCAGGCAGCAGGTCCATTCGGGGCTTTTAAGTACTGGGAAAATTCAAAAAGTTTGTTGAAGAATGGAGTATGACTATTTTGTTACAAAATTATTTTGAAATCTATACATAGTTTTTGCCTAATACATATTTTCCGTAAATGTTTTTAGGACCTGTGATATAGCCCACGATATGAATATGTCCTACTGTATTGGAATTTGTGTAAAAGGCAAAACAATTCTTTTTTTTTTCTTTTCAAAAAACAATTATTTATTTATTTAATTTTATTTGTTATTTATTTTAAAAATTTGACCAGCGAGGGAACCAGCAGTTAGCGTAATGGCTATGTCGCTGGACTCCCACGTAGTCAACCGCGGTTTGCGTCCTGGACCCGGTGGCTTAAAACTCACGCCGGGCGCGTGTGTGTGCGTGCGTGCCCAAGATCCCGAGAGGAGAATGGAGGAGAAGGGATTGCCGCGTGACCATCCCCCCTGGGGGGTGATTTCTCGCTTTCTGTCTCTATGTCTCTCTCTGTCTGTCTGGTGAGCGCATGCGCCCTATAGCAAAAACCTCTCCAAAAAAAAATTTGACCAGAGAGAGAGAGAGAAAGGGAAAGTGGGAAAATAAGCCACCTGATCTGGGACTCGAATTACGGTGGGCCATGTGGGAATCCAGTGCCTCAATCACCACACCACCTGCTGGCCCCACAGGCAAAGCAATTCTTTTGTTGTACTGTTACTGTATTTTTTATACTGTAATTAAGAGCATGGGGACCAACAGATTGTCTTAATAGTTAAGTTGCTGGACTCCCATGTAGGAGACTGGGATTTCAATCCCAGACCCAGTGACTTGAAATTCACACATGCGCGTGTACATGTGTGCCCAAGATCCGGTAAGGAGAATGGAGAAGGGATTGAGGTGTGGCCATCCCACCTGGGGGTGTGATTTCTCGCCTTCTATCTCCAGTGAACACATGACCCCTATAGCAAAAATCTCTCTTTTAAAAGAAAGAGCATGAATTTCTTTTTAATTTTTTTGAGTTGTGCTAGAGGGCATGTGTGTTTGCCAGAGAAAGATGGAGGGGTAAAAGCAACCCCCAATAGAGTGTGACCATGCCACCATCCCTCCTCCATTTCTCCATCTTGATATTTGGCATGTATGCATCTATTACCTGTCATGTTTTTCAAGCCTCCGTTATGCAAAGTATGTAGTTGGCCATGTGGGATCCAGTTCCCTTAACCACTAGGCCATTACTGGCCTGAACTTGAGTTTCTTTTTCTTTCTTTTTAAGAGAGATTTTTGTTATGGGGCGAGTGTGCTCACCGGAGAGATAGGCAAAAAGTGAGAAATCACCACCTAAGGGGATGGCCTTGCCGCAATTCCTTCTCCATTTTCCTCTCGAGATTTTGGGCGTGCGTGCACATGTACAGGTTTTAAGCCACTGAGTTTAGGACTCAGATAGCAGCTACTACCTGAGAGTACAGCTATTTAGCCATTACGCTATCTGCTGGTTCTGAATTTCTTAAATTGGACTATTTATTGGATTTAAATCCCACCTTTGCCTCTTACTAGTGATGTGATCTTGAGTTAGGTTTTTTTAGTCTCACTGTCTTGATTTCATCTTTAAAATGGAATTAAGAATAATACCTACCGCACAGCACAGTAGATGCAAGGGTCATCCTTACATGTAAGTCAGTTAGCCTGGTGCCTAATGGCATGGTAAGGGTAAGGGAGTAATAAGTGTTTGCTGTTACTATTTTCAGGTTGATTGACAAAGAGTGTTGCCATTTTTTCAGAATTAGGAATATGTTTGGGAGGGCCAGCAGGTGGCATGGTGTTTAAGGCGCTAGGTACTCCCACATGGCCGACCACGGTTTGAATCCCGGACCTGGTGGCTTGCTTTCTCACTTTCCTTCTCTGTGTGTCTATCTTTTTCTGGTAAAATTAAAAAATAAGTGAATGAATAAATAAAGTTAAATAATCCTTTAAAAAATATGTTTAGGTTTGCTTTCACTGCTAAGGAATATGTTGCCCATTTATTATAATCCCCTTGCTCTGTCTCACTCCTAGTGTTTATATAGGCATACAAAGAAGAATTCATCACTCTGTTAGCCTGATGTAAGGACTGGAGTCCATTAGAGACCTTTGGATAGTCTGTTGGTGAGCCTCTTGAAATTACAATATATACTGTAGAAGTCTCTAAATTCTTATATAGGAACTAATACTTTTTTTTTATTTTTAAAGAATTTTTTAATTTTGTTATTATTATTTTTCAATCTGACCAGAGAGAGATGGAAAGAGATTGAGGGAAAGTGAGAAAGCAAGCCACCAATTCTGGGACTCAAACCATGGTCCACCATGTGGGAGTTCAGCGTCACAACCACCATGTAACCTGCTGTCCCCAGCAGTCATGGTTTTTGAACAAAACCAGCTGAGCTTTTGCAGACAAGGCCAATGGTACAAATAACATACCCATTTCCCTGATTTACGTCACTAAACACCAAACATCATCTTCTACTCAAGCACAAAATTTGTACCATTGGTCAATGTCTCTTAGTGTCTAGCGCTATTTTAGTCAGGATAAGGCATTGTAACTGGTACAAACAGGGGTTTGTTTGTTTGTTTGTTTGTTCATTTGTTTTTGAGATTTTTGCTGTAAAAATCTCAGTGCCCTAATAAAATAAAAGTTTATTTTTGGGACCAGCAGGTAGCATAGCGGTTGAAGCACTAGACTCTCACATGGCCAACCTTAGTTTGAGTCCCCAACCCAGATGGTTTGAAAATCACACCAGGCAGTGTGCATGTGTGCCCAGAATCCCAGGAGGAGAATGGAGGACAAGGGATTGCTGCATGCTCATCCCCTTGTAGGGGGTGGGAGGAGGTGTTTGTCACTTTTCCTCTGTGTCTCTCTCTGGCTAGCACACATGCCCTATGGCGAAAACCTTAAAATAAAAAAAATAAATACAATGAATGCTATTTCTTGCTCTTGTCTGATGCAAGTCATCAAGGAAGCCCTGTCCCACCCCATCTTTCAGAGACCTAGTTTACTTCCATCTTCAACACAAGGCCACCTGATATCAGCAAGCAAGTGGCTGAGGAAAGAGGATCCCAACAGAGCCTGGTGGAGGTCAGACATATTGCTTCTCCACACATTTCATTGGTCAGAATATCAAGAGGCTAGGCCATGATGTTTAGAGTTGCTCTCAGGTAGAAGAGGAAAACTGTGAGTTGGTGGGAACTCCTCCATTTCTCCATCTTGATATTTGGCATGTATGCATCTATTACCTGTCATGTTTTTCAAGCCTCCGTTATGCAAAGTATGTAGTTGGCCATGTGGGATCCAGTTCCCTTAACCACTAGGCCATTACTGGCCTGAACTTGAGTTTCTTTTTCTTTCTTTTTAAGAGAGATTTTTGTTATGGGGCGAGTGTGCTCACCGGAGAGATAGGCAAAAAGTGAGAAATCACCACCTAAGGGGATGGCCTTGCCGCAATTCCTTCTCCATTTTCCTCTCGAGATTTTGGGCGTGCGTGCACATGTACAGGTTTTAAGCCACTGAGTTTAGGACTCAGATAGCAGCTACTACCTGAGAGTACAGCTATTTAGCCATTACGCTATCTGCTGGTTCTGAATTTCTTAAATTGGACTATTTATTGGATTTAAATCCCACCTTTGCCTCTTACTAGTGATGTGATCTTGAGTTAGGTTTTTTTAGTCTCACTGTCTTGATTTCATCTTTAAAATGGAATTAAGAATAATACCTACCGCACAGCACAGTAGATGCAAGGGTCATCCTTACATGTAAGTCAGTTAGCCTGGTGCCTAATGGCATGGTAAGGGTAAGGGAGTAATAAGTGTTTGCTGTTACTATTTTCAGGTTGATTGACAAAGAATGTTGCCATTTTTCAGAATTAGGAATATGTTTGGGAGGGCCAGCAGGTGGCATGGTGTTTAAGGCGCTAGGTACTCCCACATGGCCGACCACGGTTTGAATCCCGGACCTGGTGGCTTGCTTTCTCACTTTCCTTCTCTGTGTGTCTATCTTTTTCTGGTAAAATTAAAAAATAAGTGAATGAATAAATAAAGTTAAATAATCCTTTAAAAAATATGTTTAGGTTTGCTTTCACTGCTAAGGAATATGTTGCCCATTTATTATAATCCCCTTGCTCTGTCTCACTCCTAGTGTTTATATAGGCATACAAAGAAGAATTCATCACTCTGTTAGCCTGATGTAAGGACTGGAGTCCATTAGAGACCTTTGGATAGTCTGTTGGTGAGCCTCTTGAAATTACAATATATACTGTAGAAGTCTCTAAATTCTTATATAGGAACTAATACTTTTTTTTTATTTTTAAAGAATTTTTTAATTTTGTTATTATTATTTTTCAATCTGACCAGAGAGAGATGGAAAGAGATTGAGGGAAAGTGAGAAAGCAAGCCACCAATTCTGGGACTCAAACCACAGTTGGCCACATGGGAATCCAGCACCTCAACCACCATTCCACCTGTCTGCCTCGAGGAGCTAATACTTTGGATAATGACCTCCAGCATTATGTCTTGTTCAAATTATTATTATTATTATTTTTTAATTATTTTTACTGGACCAGGAGATGGAGTGGTGGTTAAGGTGCTGGAATTCCCACAGGGGCTACCTCGGTTCGAGTCCTGGACCTGGCGGCTTACTGTCTCACTCTCCCTCTCTCTCTCTCTCTTTCTCTGGCAAAACTCATGTGAAATAGATCAATCAGTAAATAAAATAATTCCCTAAAAAATTGTTTTTACTTGTTTATATTTATTTAAATTTGATGAGAGAGAGAAAGTGAAAAAGCAAGCCACCAGATCAGGGACTTAAACTGTGGTCTGTAATGTGGGAGTCTAGCACCTTAACCACCAGGCCACCTGCCGGCCCCCAATATTACTTTTTTTTTTTTTTTTTTTTTTTTTTAAT